ATTTGTGTACAAATTTAACAGTCTCATGTGGAGTTAGTGTTGGCGAATGTTCCATATTCATCTGGAGAGTTGGTAGGTTGTCTTCTATCAAGTTTCAAAAGTTCATAGAGCTACATATAGGATCTACAGGGAAAATAGCTTTCATAAATCTTTTCAATGAATTATTTCCCATATGATTATTGTTGCATCGAAAACAGTGTGTTCTAGTCTACTATTGTTCCTGAGCTTTTCCTTATCCGTTGCATTAGTCAGATCTCACTAAAGCAGTGGTTCTCAATCTTCCCAACGCTGTGACCCTTTAATGCGGTTTGTCGTATTGTGGTGACCTACAACTACAAAGTTATCTAATTGCTACTCATAACTGTAATTTTGCTATTTTTATGGACCACAATGTAAATCTGTATATCTGTGTTTATCTATGGTCTTATCTGATCCCTGTGAAAGGGGTCAAACTCAAAGGTTGAGAACCACTGATCTAAAGGAATATAATTTGGTAGACTGTGGTCCAGCTACTCCAACAATGGCTCTGTATGGCAGAAAAGCCATAAATGGTAGTTGTTCAGCCAACAAGACTGGATGTCTCAGCAGTCCCAGTTTGGCACTGAAGATCTAGAGGATTCCTAGGGCCCTGCTACTGGTCTTCAGTCACTATTGGAGTCCCAAAAATGTAGGTTCTATCTCCAACAAAGGGATGCCTCAGAAGCAGGGAAGATGACCTTGCTAATAAGAATGAGAGCACGCAAAAACAAAAGCTTTCTTCTTCCACGTCCTTTGATGTGGACTTACAACAGAGATGATGCCCAGATTAGGGTGACTATTCTCACCTCAAATGATCCAATCAAGAAAATCTCTCACAGGAGTGCCCAGATACTTGAGTTTTAGTTGATTTTAGATGTAGTCAAGTTGACAACCAAGATTAGCCATCACAGTCCTCAAAAAAAATATGCCACATTATAGGGATATTTCTTGAAAAAAAAATAACATTTTGCCACTAAAGTTGAACCCATGGAATTATTGTGGGTTTCAAAAATATCTCTTAATTGCATATTCTTTTAAGCATTTCTCAAATATCAGAACTTTTATCTCAGGTTACTTTTTATTTGTAATTGGCTACTATTTTTTGTTCATTTCTAAGTGTTCAGTGTAACATTTAAGGGGTATGTGCTTAAAAGTCAGTAGTTTAAGATTTTATCTTAACAGGCATCCTGAAGAGTATTTTTCTTTGCTTGATGAATTCATATACATTTATTATGAAATCAATACTCTTGGTCACTTAGAATCATCTCTATTCTATTATATGAAAACCCATAGGTAGTACTTACCTTAATGACATCTGTGAGATGTTCTGTATTCTAGATACAAGGAGTCCTTAATCTGGTGCATGGTTTTCAAACTTGTGTTTCCCCATCAGGGCATTGTCTTTATTTATCAACCATTACTTGGAAGAGCATACAACTGACACTTGATGGACGTCCTAACAACAAGCTTCTCAACTTATGAAAAGAGGTTTGTTATATCTAAGAAGTTTGGTTTTTATTGTTTTTAAAGAGCTATACATTTAACTCAATTTCCCTACCTTCCTACTGTCTCCCCTTCCTCCTCTCCTGTGACCCCCACACTCCCAGTTTTCTCAGGACTTCTTGTCTTTTTCTCCTTCCTATGTAGATCCAGAATGTCTCTCTTAGGATCCTCTTTCTTGTCTAGGTTGTCTGGGGTTGTGGAAAGTAAGGTGGTTTTTCTTTGCTTTATGTCTAAAAGTCACTCAAGAGAGAGTACATATTACATTTGTTTTTCTGGGTCTGGGTAAGGAGTTTGTTTTGAATCCATGTTCCTGAGCTTGAAGGTATGTAGGTTGCTCCTCAGCCTGTTCCTCACCACCTTAACGTCCTCCATTGCACCTTTTATCATAGCTTTTTCTGTTGCTCTTTCTCTCCCATTTCTCCACCACACATTTTACTCACCATAATGGCCCCCTTGAAGTACCGGGTAGACCTGTGAATGTCTTCCCGCCAGCCCAGGCTTTGACAATGGCAGGCTGGCCTGTTGGTGACTGGCACCTGCCTGAACAGAATGGTATCAGGCAGCCTGGGTATATCTTCCCGGCACGCAATGTTTTAAAAATTGTGTGTATATCGTAAGCATTGCTGCTCAGATGGAAAGAGATCCTGACAGTCGGGAGCCAAGGAATACCACAAATTCACCTTAAGCTTAGGAACTCACAGCCCTGTTTAAGGGAAAGTTTTCCCCAAATTAACAGCTCTGCTCTGGTAGGGGAGGGTTTCCCTAGCCAAGTTGTTACAGCTGTGCTTAGATCCTCAGAAGAGTAACAAGTCTGCTCTGCTAGGAGAAGCTTTTCCAGTTCTGCTCCCCTCTCCTCTGCTTGTCTCCAGTTGAAGTCATTGCTTCTCTGTTCTTCTTAGGCAAAGAAGGTCTCACCCAAGCCTCATTCAAGAGATTCACTGGGAGGGAAGAATCCAGGAGGTGGCTGCCCCTGCAAGAGTGGGAAAGGCAGCTCCCAACTGAAAAGGTACAGGTTGGTTTTGTGCTCAGTGATAAGCTGGTTTTCCTGCTCATGGATTGGTTGGTTTTATGCTGAGATATTGGTTAGTTTGTTTTGCCGAATTGGTAAGTGGAAGAATGTGTTTCTGTGGCTTGGTTTCAGGGGCAAAGTGTGTTTATTTCACCCGTCCTTTTTAACCTTTTGTCTGTGGTTTCAGGGCCAGTGAATTGATTCTAGTCTCAGGGTCAGTGTATGTTTCTTTTGCTCTGGTTTCAGGATCAGGGTGTGCTGCTTAGGGCAGAAAGGCGTGTTGCTCCCCTAGAAAGAGATATGCAGTCCATTGTGGGCCACCAAGAGAGTGCTGAGTACCCAGCCCAGGTCTTCTATAAGAGCAGCAAGTCCTCCTAACCATGGGGCCATCTCTGAAGTCCAAGTCAGCAAATATTAAACGTAATTAGTATTTTTCTACTTTGCCCCATAATGACAATAGACATTTTCTTATACTCAGGTAGATCCAAGTTTCATTATTATTTCCCAATCCAGAAGGTTTCATTTTTATATTAGCTAGGTTTCAATCCCAACCACTGCCCTACCCTGTCTTCAGGAAAATACAACAATCTGCCAATATCAACCAATTTGTATATACTGGAATGTATTAAAATAGAACCAGAGTTTAGAGACATCTGGCCTTCATTCATCTTGCATATATGTTTAAATTTATCTATTTTGTTGCCCATGATAATTGTTCATTCTTAATATTAAATGGTGTAGCAATGTATAGCTACACTGAAAATTTTATAATATATTTTTTATGTGTATATATGTTTTTCTACATATAGGTATGAAGAGCACATGTATGCCTGGTGCCCATGGAAGCCAAGAGAGGGTATTGGATCCCTTGGCACTGGAGTTACAGTTGGGAGCTGCCATGTTAGTTTTGGGAAATGAGTCTTTTAACTGTTGCCTGTTGTTTAGTTTGTTTTCAATTTCAATGTCTTGTATATAAAGCTGGTGTGAACTGAAATAAATAAGTCTTTAAAAGAAAATATATTCTCTTTCTTTAGGTTATATGTTTGGGGATGTGATGGCCATATGACAATTAACATATGAAGAATTGGGAAATACTTTTCCAAGTCTCTGTCCTGTTTTCCATGGCAACCAGCAGTGGGTATGAGACTTTCATCCTCCACAACCTGCCAGGTCTTTGTATGACAACTCTTTATTTCTGAGTATTTTATAGGGGTGACGAGAGTCCCCTCAGAGTCACCTGTCTCTCTTCCCTAAGTGTTAAGGATGTTGCGGCTGTATGTTTCTCTCAGTGGAGCATCTACTCACCCTTCTGGCCAAGTTTTATTTCCTGAATTGTCTATTTTCTTAGTGGCTCTTTTTTAGGTTTCTGTATTCTGGAAACAATAAGACTGTCATGTGATACACAATTTGCAACATTCATTTTCCTAGGTAAGGAAAATATGTTTCTAACATATATTTGGAAGAGTGGACATTTTCTCACTTTATTGTCATAACCAATCAGGCACGCTGTCTTCATTTCTCTAGGTTTATAAGGAGTTTGAAGTCATGTGTTCATCCTCCAAGTTTGTTCCTTTTGAAGGTGTTTTTAAGCTGGGGTTCTTCATATTCACTGTGAGTTTCAGGATAAGCCCATTAGTTTATGAAAAGTCTGTTAGAGTTCTGTTGGTGTTGTACTGGATCTATAGGTCTGTTTGAGGAGAACAGACACCTGTATCTTCCATTGCATGAAGGTGATTGCAAAGTGAATTCTAATTGGTCTTAATAATAAAATCTGGAGTCAGATATTAGGGGATTGAATCTATAAGATCAGAACAGCAAAGCAGCCAGCTTCCAGTTCTTTCCTCTATGAAATTCTCAGACCGAATGGAGCGTCCTGTCTCTACAAGACCTCCCTGTCTCTACAAGTCCCTACAAGACTGAATGCCTGGAGCTCCTGCCTCACACCACCTTATATTCCTCTCTTCAACAAACCCTGGGACGAAAAGTGTGAGCCACCACTGCCTGACTGGATCAATCTAGTGTAACACAGGGTGGCCTTGAACTCCCAGAGATCCATTTGCCTGTATCTCCTGAGTGTTGGGAGAGGTGAGTGCCACCACTGCCTGGCCTCTATGGCTAACTAGTGGATATCTGTACACACTGATCCTCAGGCAAGCTTTATTGTCATGGAAGAAACAAAATATCACCACAGTTGATGAATCTATACATCTTTACTCTCTCTCAGACATGATTTGTCCCATTCAGTGTCTAGGCACTACAGAGAAGTGGGCAGTTTTCCTAATTATTTCATATTTCCTGAAGCCATCTCCAGTGACAGGGATTTTAAATTACAGCTTCCACACATTTCACTGTGGTCAACTGTCTGTGGTAGATTTTAACAGAAGCTCTCTTTTAGGTTGAAATGTTAGGTTTCTTTCTCTATGATGAAAATGTCTTTGATAACATATATTTGCTTTTGTTTCAATTTCAGTATTTTGAAGTTGCAAGTGAATTAAGAAAAAAAGAAACAAATGTCCAACACCCAATTAGAGGGAAAATTTCTAAGGCAGCACCAGGTCAAATGTTTGCCCAAATGGAATCTTTGGAATCATAGAGATAGTCCTTTACCTCCCAGCCAGCTCCATCAGGGAGGTGCTGAGATCACAGTGGAGAGAAAGAAGGGGATACATGTGAAGAGTTAGGTATGTATGTGTAACTCCAGAAAGGTTTGTATTATGTAGAATACTTAGGAAATTATTTTCAAAATATCTAATATTATTTTTCCCAACACAAAAGGGTCAAGGTTAGTGCTCGTGTGTTTTCCCTCTTGTTTTCCCATCCAGTCACTCAGATTTTAGCAGTGTCTGCTGTGGACTGTGTACATACTGGGTGTTTTATGGATGGTTTTGCCATATGGATTATTACCATGACTCCTGCTAAGGGTTGCTCTGAAACCTACTTCCCTGAGCAGTTACTAGTCTACAACCATTGCTTGTCTTTGAGTAAAGTTTCCTTTTTTCTTTTGATTATGAATGGATTTACTCATTCCTTTGTGTCTGCTCAGAAACACCATTTTTAGAAGGAGTACTCCTTTGTCATCATTATATATTGTGATGCTTAAATTATCCCATAACTTGCCCGTGAGAGGACACACATTCAAGTGGACCTGCTCTTCACTATTTATCTGTCTAGAATTCTGGATTATCTGACCACCCCTGGGAAGACAGTAATCACCAAATGCTAGTTGTCAGTGACACTTTGTCTCCTCTGTCTGTCAATGTCAGGTCTCTTCTATGAGAAGAACAACAGGAAGGCAGAGAGAACACGCAGAAGGTTGACAAGAAGCTGACATGAGCCCTTGTTTCCAGTGTGTGAGTCATCAGTGCCACCAGTGTGTGTGTGTATACGTGTGTGTGTGTATGTGTGTGTGTGTGTATAGGAAGGATCTGTGAGATGAACAAAGAAGAAGAAAATGTCACTGCACATCTTTGACTTGACTGAATACAGACAGACTACTCCATCCCTATATTCAGTACAATAGAGTGCATGAGCGTTCTCATCTGCCTTCCTCCCCTCTCCATGAGCTTTCTCTCCCCTTACTCTGCCTTCTAGTAGAACAGGGAGAAAACTGTGAACTCTCCATGCAGAACCAGCTCCTGGAGAAGAACCAAGTGTGGTGTGGTCTTGTCAGCCTGTTACCTAGCAAGAGTGACAAGATCATGTGGGACTCACCAGGTGAGTCATTTCCTTTTCTCTTCCCATCTGTGTGACCAGCAGGGGATCTGTAATGCCTTGTAGGAACTCAACCTGTTGAGCAGGTAGCAGCAATAGCAGCACACTGTGGAACAATGACATTAATAGACTTCCCAGATGACTGTCCCCTGCATGGGTTCCTTTAAATGACCAGGACTGAAATGGGCGCCATCCCTTCAGACCATTTCCCGAATGGGCCATGCATTACTGCATCACATTTGCAGGGACTGCTTATTAAAATGGTAGATATCTGGGTCCACAACAGACACTGAATCAAACCCTGGAAAATGGGGTGTGGCATAGCCACTTCCTTCTGGTGGCTGTCCATGTTAAAATTTATTGCTAGTGGGTTTGATATTCTGTCTTCCAGGATATGGAGTCACAGACTGCTCAATTCCATACCATGTTCTCTTGCTACTTCCGTAAATACCAGTGTGTTACATGGCATGTTAAATACGCATCAATTCCTTCATGTATGTTTATTCAGATATTCACATACTGGCCTCTTTTTTGAGTACCGGGTTCCTGCACTGAGAAGACTAGCAGGGTTCCTTGCATATTGTGTTAGATAGGTAAACTGTCAGTAAGCAGATGAAATCAGTAATCAGAGCAATTTCATGTATTGTTTCTGCTTTAAAGATCATAAAGAAGATAGGAAATAGTTGTGACAGGGATTGTGGTACATGATGTAACCCCTCAAAGGTTTCAGAATTTAGCATGTGATCTGAGTCCTGAATGACAAAAAGAAGCAAGGCTGTGCACAAACCATGTTGTGGGCGTGCTTGCCCCCATGGAGAACAGTGGATCTAAGAGCAGAGGACAAGGCCAGTTGCCAGAACCTTGAAGACAATGTGGACACTGCTTGGGGATAGGATAGAAAGGAAGATGTGTGTCGTTTTCAGCGGTGTATGACATTTGGATTATATGATCAGTGTGGAACGTAAGTTATGGAATTGACATGATTTGATTCCTTTTGGTGGAAGGTGACTTGGCACTGCATAGAGAAAGGCCTGAGGAGGGCGAGATGAGGGAGTGTGTGGAGACAGTGGAGATTTTCAGAAGACAGGGGAGGGATGGAAGTGGATTGAAGGAGGGTTGAAGCCATGCTGCAGTGATCAGCTGGAGAGCCACCCTGAGCAGCCTTGTCTGGGAGAAGGCAGATAGCACCTGTATGCGCTGTGCATTTTCCTTGTGGAGACGTTGCTCTAACATCTCTGGATTTGTCTGACCACATGGAGACACAGTGCTTCCGTTTACTGACATCAGTTGTTCCGCGTGTTTTTGACACAGAATAGTTTGAATACCCAAACTAGTTATTGTAAAACTCAGTAATTTAACAACGTGTCAGCTGATGAATAATTTTCAGATGTAAACTTTTCTAAATACAACTAACTGTAGCAGAATTTCCAAAAGAATAAGAATCTAACATTTGTCTAATGAAAAGTGAACCCAAAGTTTAATGTATCTTTGAAAATGGCTGTTATACAGCATGCACTGCTCTTGGCAGGTTTAGAGATGAAGCAAGTGAGTAGGCTTTAGGCAGAGTCAAGGTGAAATCAGTCTCTAGGTGCTGCAGCTACTGCTTGTCCCTATTCTTTCTCCAGAAGAAGACTGCCCTTAGAAATGCATATTTTTGACAGGTGGGCGTGGCACACACATTTAATCCCAGGACTCACGAGATAGAGACACTATGATGTCTGAGTTCAAGGCCAGCCTGTAATTCCATTTGCATACATCAACATTAGTCTGCCACATATGCAGGAACTTGTGACTGGTATTTAAAGCACATATTATAACTAAAGGCCCCTAAAATCAGTAGGTGAGCATTCTAATGCTCACATTTACAGACTGGGGAGCAGGGCTCAGAGCACAGGGTCTCCTTCTGTTTTCTCCTCACAGTATGCCCAGCCTGTGTTTGGAAAATGGGTCCAGCACATCCAGGCTCAGGGAACCAAAGTTGCTGGGGCTAGGAAGGTTCCACATCTCTCTGATTCTAGAACAGTGGTTCTCAGCCTGTGACTTGTGACCTCTTCAGCAATCTTCTATCCCCCAAACTATTTTCATTGTGATTCTTACCTGTAACAACTTTACAGTGATGATGCAACAACAGAAATAATTTTCTGGTTGGGATCACCACACATGAGGGACTGTATTAAGAGTCACGTCACAGCATTAGGAACACTGAGAACCACTGCTGTACAGACATCTAAACACAGAATCTGACTCCTCAGATATGTCTGGGACCCCTTCATCATTGCCCCCATACTCCTATGGAGGCACAGCCCCACATCAGGATACGCACACTCACATCTCTGTGCAAGCGGAACCCTTTTCTTCCTTCTCCATCATTTCTATTTCCACACAATATGCTATATTTCCAAATTGGTTTTTTATATCTTCATCACTCATCTTAAGGATGTGTGTGATCCTTTGACCAACCTTTTTCCTGTTTTGTGATTCTTCTGCAGGGTCTGGGTCATTGTTCTGCACATACAACCACAGACAGTACAACAGCAGCCTCCAGTCCCTTGTTGCTGACCTTTGAGGAAGCTGGGCATCTAAGGTAGGTTTGCGGGCAGGAGACTTGCTCTCAGGAACATGATGTCCTTGCCAGAGCCTGGACTCGAGGATGCTGCAGCACTTAGATCTGCCCAGCATCTGTGGTCCTGCCCCAAGCTCTTCACAAATGTGGTGGGAGCACATTTGGGAATTTTTACAAGTGGTCCCTAGACACTGGTATGGCTCCCCTGGCTGTGAAGGATATTCCTAGCTTATTCTTGATTTCTCTAGTAGCTGAAAAATGAGAATGCTATTCCATGAAAAGAAGCCATTGGTGAATTTAAAAAGTCATAGCACGGGGTCTGGCGGCATAGCTCATGTGGTAGAATGATTGCCTAGAATGGAAAATGCTCTGTGTTCTTTGACCCTCTGGGCATGTTCACCCTCACCTGTAATACCAGCACTCAAGTCATAGAGGGAGGAGGAAAGAGACATGAGAGTCAATACTGTTCATGAGAGTATGGCTCCCAGCACCCATGGCAGATAGCTCACAACTGCCTTTAACTCCAGCTCCATCAGGAGTCAATGCCTCTGCCAATCATGTGCATACCACAGAAAGACAGACAGACAGACAAGCATACATAATAAAAAGTAAAACTAAAGTCTAACCAAAAAGAAGAAGAAGAATCAGCTTTAGGTTATTGAGCCAAGAGGAAAACACAGTGGAATTTAAAATATATGCACAGTAAAATGGCTAACAGACTTTAACAGTCTACAGTCTTGCAGGAGAGATGTTCAGTGGTTAAGAGTGCATTCTATTATTGCTGAAGATGCAAGGTCTGTATCTAGCATCCATTTCCAACATCTGTGATGGACCATACCTCAGCTCCAGGAAGATGTGACCTCTCCTGACCTTTGTACGAACCTGCATTCATGTGTACATACACACAGAAATATACACAACATAACTATTATTAAGTTATGTACATTTTTAAATAATATACAACATAAAACAATAGTGAAATGTTAAAGAAAAATGCTCAAATGTCAGACAGTAATGAGAACAGTTGTCATCAGCATTATGTGGTAAATGCGTGCACTTCCAGCTATTTGAACACTAGGGTTACAGGATCATTAGTGCTAAGAAGTTTCAAAACAGCCTGAATAGGATAGAGAGGCCCTTCCTCAAAATGAAAACCAAACATAAACCAGAAATATCTCACAAAATGCTAAATTTCTGAGAATAGCAATCTTAGAAAACATGGTTTTTCAAGACATGTGGATCATTATAAAATAAATTTTTGCAAGGAATTCGATGATAAAATTACTTATTTCTTGGGAATTCAACAATACACATGTAGAAAATGGAATGAAAATGTTACTGGGCCGAGAAGAAAACAGTAGCATTAAGAATGTGTTTACATTAAAATGAATACTTGAGCTGGTGCAGTGTGCTAAGCTGGGAAGACCAGCAGCACTCTGAAGGCTGGGGGAGGAAGGGGAAGAGTCCCAGGCTGGGCTGGGCTGCTCCGTGAGACTCTGCACTAAAGACACAAGGTAGATATCAGGACTATTATCATTCCATTCACTGTGGGAAAGTTTCAGCTTAGTTCTGTCATGGGAAACCATCCTCTTTCCATCAAATGAGAGGCACAGCCCTGTGCGCCCCTGGCAGACACATTAAAGATTACCATCCCCTAAATGGGGAAGTGACTTCTTCACCACCACATACAGCAAGGCGCGCAGAAAATGGCAGCTGGGACTGTACTCACATAGCTCATTCTCCAGAGACTTCCCTGCAGACAGTCCTGTGCCTTAGGGGTAGGAATCAGCCCAGCAACAGGCACAGATTTACTTATGGCACTATAAGTGCTTTCCTGTGGTGTTTGAAATTTCGTATCCAGGAAGGAAAGTACTTTAAAGTGTAAACTGAGAAAATACTTGTGCTCGGGTGGTAAAAGCAGGGCTGGGGAGACAGCTAAATCAGTAAAGGGCTGGCCTTGTGGGCATGAGGCCCTGAGTTCCATCCCTAGAGAGCATCATCAAGAAAATGAAGTTAAACTACAGCAGGAAAAATAGCAGGTGTGGTGGGAGATGCTTGTGTGTGAAAGTGG